CACTCATAATTTACGTCTTGCAAAAGGGGGTGGGAATAGGCCTGGGAAAGTGAGGACCACCCAATTTTGGTTGTCACCCTCTCTAAATAATTCTCTTTACCAAGAAAGCTAAGCATCAGGCTTGTTTTTCTGAAGTAAGAGGAAAGAGCCTATCACAGTCCGGGCTCAACAGGAAGCACACAACGGGATGAATTCATTCATAACAGAATTGGTGAAATACTATTCAGCCGCGGTACCTCTTAAGTCACAGCCTTTCAAAGCACTTGAGTCTTGAAAAACGACAAAATAATGAAGAACAGTCTTCCCTTCCCCCATTTTTTTTCTCTCTTTCTTGGGTAATTGTTAGCTAATAAAACAGTCAAAATAAATTTTAGAAGAGAGCTCAAGGAGAGTGGACAGGATGAACAGCAAGAAATGAAAGGCCCGCAGCAAGGGGGGGCCGGGGCGGGGTATGAGAGGCACCCTTTCTTTTGTCTGCTTCTCAGAGGGAAAAAGATTTCCTATTTGTCAGAAACTTAAAAAAAAAAAAAATGTACAAACGTACATTGCATTTTCCTAGCTAAATTGTGCCGTGGAAGCCATGGTTTGATGTTTATTGTGTCGGTGGCGGGAGGGGGCGAGCAGTATTTTCTTCCCAAGACAAAAATTGAAACCCCCCCATCTGCGCACATCCTAGAGCCTAAACATGTCAGTCCTGCTGAGACTTTGGAGTGGCTGGGGGATGGGAAGCTGCTTCTTCAAAAAAGGAAGACAAGTTCACTACCTCTTTTCCAGCAGCGAAGCATTCATGCAGGAAGTGACCTTACAAAGAGTTTCGAAAGAAAACGCAATAAAGGGGCCGAGAGAGGCTCCGCACGCAATTTTCAAGGGCTGGGCGATGTTTTTCAGAGGGTCAGAGGAAGGGACGGAATAGCAACTCTGACGGAGGAACAAGAGCTAGGCTTAGAGTTTATCCTGTGCAAGGGGACTTCAGGTTCGTGTACCTTAGCTTACCATGATCAGCCCCGTGCAAGGGAGTGAGTTAGACCTTTTAGTCTCAATAGTACAGGCTGCAGAATGGAGAGGAAGGGGAGAAAGGGGAACTCCGGGTGGCTGCTTAAATATCCTACCGAGGCTTCTGGGTCTCACGCTCCAAGCAAATTCATCCCTCAACACTAGACAGAGCATAGTTCTGCTAAGTCACTTTGCCTGCTAGGACATTGATTTGCAAATGTCACCAGTGTGCCCAGCAGCATTCCAGATCCGGAGATCTTCAATCGGGTACAAGGCTGTGCACTGTACATTGATGCACCCCCAAATACCTTTCACACACTGAATTCCAAACCAAGAGTATCATCTGTGGAGGGATCACACCAGCTAGGAGTCGGGAAGTTTCTCTCAGTTGCCTACCAAATGCAGTATGAACTGCCGGAGGCATGGGCCTCATTCTCCACCCAACCCAAGAGTCTCTGTCTTTGCTCTCTGTTTCTTCTTACACAGAACTTAGGAGGGAAGCAGATCATGGAAGTGTCTAGAACATGCTCTTTCTGGTACAAGAATGAGGACCTACAGTTCTGCAGATAGCCTTCACTGTTAGTGAACTAATGTAAACAGGTCCTCTGGATGGCTGGAAAACAAAGACCTCAGCTCCAACTGCATGGTCTGCCATGATGCTATTAATATATAATCTATTCAGGTGCTTGGGACATTGTGTTATGACACCAACAGCTGTCTGCTGCCTAGAGTTGCAGGGAGGCATTGGAAAGACTGACACTTAGCAGGTCCCTTGGCTGGCTCAAGACTCAAGCCAGGGCTTGAAGAAACCATTACAAGGAATTTTTTTTTTTTTGATCACTTCTTTCTTTCTAGGTATAAGAACCTTTTAGAACATGTTTTTATTTTTCTCTTTTATATTTGCATTTGGGACACACCTCTAGGAAGTCATTAGCAAGGCCTGCTTTAGTGACCAAATTGCTCAGAAGATCCAAAATTCCCTTCTCATTCACATCACAGCTTCTGGTTCTGCTGTGCCCTGTCTTGCTTCCTTTTCTTCTCCTTTGTGACCTCTAGTCCCTAGCCCCCCTCCTCCTCTCCTTTCTCAATCCATTGTCTCCATTCTGACACCTCTTAACTTTTCTCCCTCTCATGCGGGTTAAGACTTTTGTCCCGTTGACATATTCTAAAATCCTCTTAGAAGAGTGAACCTCAATTGAGAAAAGAGTAACCTCAATTGAGAAAATGCCTCCATCAGATTGGCCTATGGGCAAGTCTGCAGGTCACTTTCCTCACTGATGATGGATGCGGGAGGGCCCAGTCCGTGGGTGGTGCCATGTGGTGATGGTCCTGAGCTGTATAAGAAAGCAGGCTGACCGAGCCAAGGGGAGCAAGGCAGTAAGCAGCACCCCTCCTCCAACTCTCTGCTTCAGTTCCTGCCTCCAGGTTCTTGCTAGAGCTCCTGCCCCACTTCCTTAGTGATGAACTCTAAGATGAGATTAAACCCTTTTCTCCTGAAGTTTCTTTTGGTCTTGACGTTTATCACGGCAACAGAAAGCAAACTAGACCACCAGCTGTGATAGCTGTCTGGCTTGTGACTTGATGGAGTTAGTTCACTTTCTCCTTTCTATTCAGTCTAGGATCCCAACCCATTGAATTTGGTCCCTCACAGTTAGGGTGGGTCTTCTCACCTCAATTCGCCTAACTAATCCAAATTGTCCCTCACAGGCATGCTCAAAGGCTAACTTTAGAGAAAGCCTTACAGGTGTGCCTAGAGGTTCACCTGTTAATGATTCTATAGTCTGTCAAGTTGACAGTATTACCCACCACAGTAGCCTGAGGCAGAATTTCGACACTCAGTGTTTTCTGTGTAAACACCCTGAATAGTTTTATGTCAACTGCATAGAAACTAGAGTCATCTGAGAGGAGGGAGTCTCAGCTCGTTGTGAGTGGGGTCTGGGCAGGTGGTCCTGGGTTGTATAAGAAAGCAAGCTGAACAAGTCATGAGGAGCACCTCAGTAAACAGCACTCCTCCATGGCCTCTGATCAGCTCCTGCCTCCAGGTTCCATCCCTGCTTGAATTCTTGTCCTGACTTCCTTCAGTGATGGACCTTGATATGTAAGTGTAAGCCAAATAAACTCTTTCCTTCCCAGTTTGTTTTTGGTCATGGTGTTTCATCCCAGCAATAGAAACCCTAACTAAGACATGCCTGCTGAAAAGAAGAGGGGAGAGGATTGCAAGCAAGTCCAAGAAAATCTCTTACACTAAGCACAGCTGTTATTAAGAACTAAAGGAAGGCCAGGCAGTGGTGGCGCACGCCTTTAATCCCAGCACTCGGGAGGCAGAGCCAGGCGGATCTCTGTGAGTTCGAGGTCAGCCTGGTCTCCAGAGCGAGAGCCAGGAAAGGCACAAAGCTACACAGAGAAACGCTGTCTCGAAAAACCAAAAAAAAAAAAAAAGAACTAAAGGAAATCCTACATGAAACTGTTTTTTCAACTGTCTTTGCATCGAGGAAATAAGAGGAGCCAGGGCAGTTTGTTTTCCTGGTATCGTCTAGTCTCTTGATACTCAAAATGCCTTCATCTCCATCCTTTCCTAAACATGATGGTCGCTCATGGCTCCGACCATTCCCTTTATGTTATCTGTACCTCCTTCCCCCTCATGTCATTATTAAGAGCATCATTAACCGCTGCTAGACATAAAGATTCCAAATCAGTATCCCTGACGGTTGCTCAGATATCCGCGTACCTGTTGTACATCTTCCCCTGTGGTGTCCACCAGCCCCTCTCACACAATGTTCAGAAGGGAACTCAGTAACTTATCATGGCCACTTTCAAGCCTGTGTGCGGCCACACACCTTAGAGCACACGAAAGGCTAGGACTGGAAGATTATGAGTTTAAGACCAGTCCAGACTACAGAGGGACTCTGGCTTAGGATGACAACAACACCATCAAAAAGTTTGTTTTGTGTTTCAGTGTTCAGAGTTGGAACAGCATCCCCATTCTCCCAGACACTGACATTTGAAAGCCTGGGACCATCTCACATCTGCTTTTCTCCAATGCACCTCCCAAATGCTATTAAAAGTACATTTTGAATAATCTTGGCTAATTTATTTTTATGATCCATGTCTAGTTTTGTCTTGTATTATAAGACATGACTATTTTAAAGAAAAAGTTTGCAAAAATAAATTTGAATAGACATATACAGATACCTTGATTAACAGCATGATGTTATTATCATTCACCCCGTGATAGCTCACTTCTGACAAGGACATGATATAAAATCCAACTTCCACCTTGAATAATTTAATTTTATTGGTCTAAAATTGTATACAGTTATTATGTTTTTACCTACAATAAGAGGATATTAAAATTTCAAAGCAATATGCCAGTCATTTTGAAAAGAAATTTTGTTATGAAAATTTAGACATGCATAGAAACAGTAAAGTGAACACCCAGAGGACTCCCTTGCAAGGAAGGGAAGGAGGAGCAGAGAGGGGGAAGAAAGAGAGGGGGGAAATGTTCAGATGTCAGCTTATTCTACCCGTCCTGGTCTCACTGTGTCGTTATCATAGTGTTATATAATTATAATGTTATGTAGAAGGGAAACATAGGCTTGTCCACACAGCATATGCAGGACAGAGGTACAACGCCATTTTACCATCATCAAAGCTGATAATCACAACAGCAGCCATCGCATGATTCTCAGTCCCGACTACAATTTTCTATGTTGTCTCAAAAATGTATTTTCCCCAGTTTGTTTTGCTGTGTTTTGGTTGAATTTGGAGCCACACAGGTTCCAACCACTGCTTTTGGACTCCGAAGTCCTTTTCAGTCTTCGTGTTTTTCCATATCACTGACCTATAGAACAAGCCAGGTCCCTACGTCCAAATGTCCTACAGTTTGTCATGTCTATTTACAACCTTCCTAGCTGGTGTAGGTTAACAATCTCTTCCTCTGTTCTCATGTGTACTGTGCTCTTGTGCAAATCATTTTGAGCTTTCTTTTTCTTTTTTTTTTTATGATTCATATTCCTTTTCCAAATGCATCAAAACTCATCCTGAACAATGAGTCCTGAATTACAAAAGAGGTTTTAGTCCTACAATTGTCTTCTATGACTTTGTCTGCAATTGACCAAAACAACACTCAAAACACTCAAAACAACAGTGCTGTAAGGATTGGTTTTGTTCCCATTGCATCTCCCCGAGCTTCACTCATAAAAGCGTACTTCTTTGCACAATGCTTTCTTTTTCTCTTGCATTTGTTTCTCTTGGTTCTTGACATTTCCATCAAAGTCAATTGCGATGAACTAGCTAGTCACAGCCTAGCATTTTCCCTAAGAGTAGACCAGTGACATAATGCAAGATCTAAAGACACATCAATTGATAAACAAAAGAAAATTCTTTTAGAAAATACTCAAAAAAATAAAAATGGTCTTCATTGTCTTAGATAGCTATATATTTTTTTTTTTTTATTCAGGAGGCTTTCCTGGAAGAATATTGTTTTTTTTTTTTAAGAAATTTTGGGCTGGGGAAATGGCATAGTCAGTGAAATATTTGCTGCACAAATATAAGACCCCATTAAAAAAGCCAGCTTTGGCAGTGCATACCTGTAATGTTGTTCCTGGGGAGGCAAAGTCAGAAGGACTCCTTCTTGCTGGTCAGTTGGTCTAGCAAGTTGCCAACCTCCAAAGTCGGTGAGACACCTTGTTTCTTAGTCACTTTTCTCCTGCTGTGAAGGAACATCATGACCAAGACAACTTACAAAAGAAAGCACTTAACTGGGACCTTACTTACAGTTTCAGAGGGTGAGTCCATGGCCGTCATGGTGGGGAGCATGGTGGCATGCTTGGAGATGGAGCAGGAGCTAAGAGCGTACATCCTGATCCACACTTTGAGGCAAGGTTAGGGGGCAGGGAAAGGGGACTAGGCCTGGTGTGGGCTTTTGAAACCTCAAAGTCCACCCCCCAGTGACATACCTCCCCTAACAAGGTCACACCTCCTAATCCTTCCTAAAACAATTCCACTAGCTAGGGACCAATCATTCAAACATGCAAGCCCATGGGGCCCATTCTCAAAAAATAAAGTGAAGAGCCATTGAGGAAGACGCCAGACATTGACCTCTGACCTCCACGTGCACACCCACACACATGTGCAAACACATGAACATGTATCCACATATACGGTTCAAGTTTGCTTCCTACTGATGTGATAAACCCCATGACCAAAAGCAATTTGAGAGAGGAAAGGGTTTGTTTGGCTTACACTTTCTAATCACAGTGCATCACTGAAGGAAACTAAGGCAAGAGCCTGGAGGCAGGAACTAAAACAGAGACCATGGAGCAGTGCTGCTTACTGGTTAGCTCCCCATGGTGTACTCCGTTTGCTTTCTTATACAATCCAGGACTACCTGGCCGGGGGATAGACGGCTCAGTAGTTAAGAGCATTGGCTGCTCTTCCAGAGGACCGGAGTTTAAATCCAAGCATCCACATGGCACCTAACAACTATCTATAATTCCAGTCCCAGGGGATCTGAACTCCTCTTCTGGCCTCCATGGGCACTGCACACATGGTGCATAGACATACATGTAGACAAACTACCTATACACATAAAGTAAATAATCAATAGGAATAAATAATTGCAGGCCAATCTGATGGAGGGATTTGCCCAACTGAGTTCCCTCTTCCCAGATAGCCTTAGTTCGTGTCCCGTTGCAGTCAGACCTTTTCGTCAGGACCGCCAGTAATGACACAGAGACTCATTAATTATAAAAGCTCTGTCGTTAGCTTAGGCCTGTTACTAACTAGCTCTTTCAACTTAAATTAACCCATTTTTATCAATCTACTTTTTGTCTCATGGTTTTATTACCTTTACTCTGTACTGCTCATGCTACTTCCTCTCCATCTGGCTGGCGACCCTCCATGTCTCCACCCTTCTTCCCAGCATGCTCTCTGCCCCGAAAGTCCTACCTAGCCATTCAGCTTTTCATTAAACCAATCAGAATGACACATTCCCAGTGTACAAAAAGATTATTCCACAACACCCAGTTGACAAACAAAACAAAATGAAAACAAACAAAAAACTAATTCACACATATGCATAAAAATGTATTCAGTAGAAAGACATAAAATGGTAACTCATACATCAGTTACCATTTTTGAGTAGGAGTGGTGGACTTTAAAGGTTTTAGATATAACAAGCAGGTGACTTAGAAATAACTAGAATTTAGTTTATATCTGTGCAGATATATGGTGCACTTGGTAGTGTCTGAGGGAAATATTGGGTCTTATAAATTAAAAACTGGAGCTGTATGAAGTAATATCTTTCCCAAGAATGTGTAAATACTGCAGTCAAATGTTATTGCAGATGTATATAATTTTTCATGAAGGTTTAGTTTTTTAATATTTTTCTGCAGATTTGAGGATCATTTCCAACTTACAGACGCCTGGCAAAGGATATGCAACAGTTGTTAGTTATTTGCAGTTGTTGGACATTCCAGAGACTCATGAGTCTCTTAGTTGTCACCAGTGCACCATAAGTTAGCCCCGAGTGCTATTCCTAGTGCTAAGGAAAGCTGAAGCACAAGCTGATCGGATTTCTTTCTCTCACAAGTAAGCGCCAGAGCCCGGACTGGCATTCGGGTAGCTTAGCCTGGAGCCTTACCCCCTATATTAGCAACAAAATACCCAACAAAGGCAACTACAGGAAGGAAAGGTTTATTTTGGTTCACACTTCAAGGGTGCAGACCATTGTGGCAGGAAAGTTTTGGTGACAGGAACTCAGCCATGCTGTCATTGTCTGTGATTGAAAAGCAGAATGCACGCTCGTGCTAAGCTCTCTTTGATCTTTATATTCAGTCTTGGAACCAGCTCATGGAATGATGACACTCACATTTAGGATAGACCTTCCCAGCTTGTTAGCCTAGAAACTTTCTTAGAGATATGCCAAGAGGTTGTCTCCTATTGATCGTCATCAGGTTGACGATCAATATTAACCCTTACAGCTTGTGACTTCCATGCTACATACAATACCCAGAGGTTTATGGAAACAACTCAGAAGCTCTCAGGCTGCAGAGATCAGCATACTTTTATGGAGCGCATGGTGGTTTGAATAGGAACGGTGCCCATAGGCTCATGGACATTTGAATGCTTGGTCACCAAGGACTGGCACTATTGGGAGGTGTGGCCTTGTTGGAGGAAGTATGTGACTAGGGGTGGGTTTTAATGCCGCCATGATTCCCACCATGATGATAATGGACCAAACCTCTAAAACTATAAGCAATCCCCAACTAAATGCTTTCCTTTGCATGAGTTGCTGAGGTCATGGTGCCTTTTCACAGCAATAGAACATTGACTAAGACAGAAGAAGTTGGTACCAGAGAGTGGGGTGTTGCTATGATAGGCCTGACCATGCTATTTGTTGGAGGAATATGGAAGACTTTGCGGCTTTGGACTATAAGAGAAGTTGGATGGTTTTAAGTGTAGCTAATTGGACCATCCTAGCAGTATTGGAAGACAGTAGTACTGAGAGCAATGTTGATTATGACGGCCCAGCTCAAGAAGTTTCAGGGGAGAAGAATATTAGTAAATGGCCTAGAGATGTCAATACCTAAGAATATCTTTTTTTTTTTTTTTTTTGGTTTTTCGAGACAGGGTTTCTCTGTGTAGCTTTGCGCCTTTCCTGGGACTCACTTGGTAGCCCAGGCTGGCCTCGAACTCACAGAGATCCGCCTGGCTCTGCCTCCTGAGTGCTGGGATTAAAGGCGTGCGCCACCACCGCCCGGCTAGAATATCTTTTTTATTAAGTGCTCAAGAAACATCAGAACTGCTTCTGCTAAACAAACTTAAAACATAAAATTAAAAGGTTAGTTTCAGGACTGATCTGTATTCTGAGATATGTTTGCCTTGGTCCATTTAAAAGGTGCATATATTAACAAGGATGAGATCGGCCAGCTTTTGCTTTGGAAAAGTTGCTAAGTGACAATGCATTTTAACATTTAAATACTTTGCTGGGGCTCCCTTTCATTGGTTCTCAGTCTCATCCATGTGAGAATTTGGAAACAGAACTCAGAAGGAAGCTTTCTGACTATTTAGTTTGAGAAAAGGACAAAGCAGGCATAGAGGTCCTGCCGCCCGCCAGCTGCCTCTGCCAAAGCTAACTGGGAGAAAGTAATCAGCGTGTGTGTTGGGGGACAGGTTTAGTCAAGTCCAGACTTGGAAAAATGGAATCAAGATGGAATAGAGACCGTCATATGCCTCACAGACAGGCAGCTCCCATTTTCAAAGTGGGAGGTGACCTCGGGGTCTTCCGTGAGGCAATAAATGAAAAATTCCCATTCCCAAATAAGTCCTTGTTCTCTGGTGGAAGTTCCTTGAAAGACCAGGTTTGCTTAGACTCTTCTAACATTTTTCAGGCTCAGCAAGATCCTGACTTCCCACTGCCATTGCAGCTCCTGTTCTGAGTCAGGGTCTCTCGCTGGCTGGTTCTGCTAAGCTGGCTGGCCAGTGAGTCTTGGTCACTCTCTCCTGTCTCTCCCTCCCCAGCACTAGGACCACAAACGCACGCCACCACACCTGGCGTTTTATACAGGGGTGCTGGAAATCAAACCCTTATGCTTGCGAGTCAAGCACTTTTCTGACTGAACCGTCTTCCCAGACACTTGTTTTGTTTTTCCAGAAAAACAAACAAAAACACGGATCATGTGTGAAACCACGGAAGACAGCCCGGCAAGGTGCAACTTTATGGTTTGTGTTCACTGACTAGGGCTGTCAGAACAAAGGGCTGTCTTTGTTTTTTAGATTTATTACATTTTTTGTGTGTATGTTTTGCCTGCGTGTGTGTGTGTGTGTGTGTGTGTGTGTGTGTGTGTGTGTGTGTGTGTGTGTATACCATATGCATGCCTGATACCCACAGAGGCCAAAAGAAGAGGTTGAATCCTCTGGAACTGGAATCACAGAGCCACCATGTCGGTGTGGGGAATTGAACTTGAGTCTTCTGCAAAATCAAGTGCTCACAACTGTTGAGAGCCCTTGTCTGCCCAGCCCACAAAGGGCTACCTTACACAACGGAAATCCATTGTCCCAGTTTTGGGTGAAGGCTGAGCTCAAGGAGGCAGGAGGACTGCTTTCCCCCCAGAAGCTGCTCCACACCTGACT